GAACTCAAGTTTTACTATATAATCTGCAGTCAATCAGGAAGTAGAGGGGGGGGAATTGGAATCATGTTTTGCTAAGGGGGGAATGGGAACAGGAACACAGGCAAGGCTCTGTCACGTCAGGGCTGGGAAGGGGGACACTGAGGAAGGAAATTGGAATCATTGCTTGCTGGAAGTTCACCCCAATAAACATTGAATTGTTCGCACCTTCGGACTTCGGGTATTGCTGCTCTCTGTTCATGGGAGAAGGACCAGGGAAGTGAAAGGGTGAAGGAATAAGTCCTCTAACACACATCTAAGTGGTGCCCCATTGATGGCACGCAGTTGCATTGACTTCAACTGCTGCAAGGGGGCTTTTGTAGGAAAATCTTGTCTACAGTGAAGAGGTCATAGCTGTAAATCTTTATTTCCTCGCCTTAAAATTGATCCATAGTCAAAAATATATGGCTATTCATTTAATTTTCCATCTGAACTATAGCGTCATGAAGATCTAAATATTACTAGGCCACACCAGCCATTATTATTTTTATTCTATGTGTCTACATCTGCAGTATAAAGAAACCACAAATCTGTTTCCAGTTGCTCACGTTAAGCAATGAGAATTTTAAACAAGGGATCAAAATGATGCTCTTTTACAAGAAGAGCTGATGCGGTGCCCAGGGTAGACATAGCATAAGGGGATGGCCCCTTACAGAGAACATTAGGGTCACTGGAACTGAAAGGTAAGATTGTAATTAACAAAAGGATGATCCGAATTACTTGGTTGGGAGTCTAGCTAGGTACAGTCTAGTTTTACTGAGGGAACTAGTATTGTACGGCTTGAAGCCTTTGGAACTGCTCCCTTTGATCTGACTGGGCTGTGGGGCAGGGCCATATTGTGATGATGCCTTCCAACAAGAGTTAATACATGCTTTGCAGTTCTAGATCACTGGAGTAAATGCAAAGGCCCAAATCCTGAGACATAGACTTTGCTCTAGCACACTCCTACTTATTGCAATGAGAAGCTAATTGAATAAAATCTGAGTGTTGACTTGTGCCAACAAGACCCACACTTAGAGGGGAACCTACAGCCAAGGAGTCCCCGTCTACATGGAAATAGGAGACAGCACCCTCCCCACCACTACCTCCCTGGGCTCTGGAAGAGGACGCTCTGTGAGGTCAAGCTCTGTATGGGAGTGAGAAGGAGATGGGGACAGGGCTGGCTGGCGTTAGGGAATGGGAGGCCCTGCTTTGGGTGGGGAGGGGTTGCTCATAGTCATTCATTCTGGGGAGCTTATTTGGGCCTGTATGACATTACCCACAGAGCCAACACCATAGTGCGATCCTCCCAGAGGGAGCCAAAGTGGAACTGCACTACCAGGAAATGGAGGGGAGGGATGCTGGGGGAACAATACCACATCTGAGGAATGTCTAGCCCCTCCCCCCCCATTATCCCAGTATCTGAGAGCCTCACACCCTTTAATGCATTGATCCTCACCACCACCCTATAGGGCAGGGCAGTGCTATTGGCTCCACGTTACAGGTGGGGAACTGAGGCATTGAGGTCCATAAAGGTGTAAATAGAGTGGGATTTCCGAGAACGCCGGGGTGCCTGACTCCCGTCAGTTTCAGACAGGGTTAAGTGCCTCTTAGGTGCTTTTTAAGTCCCTATTAGGCACCTAAACCCCTTTTAAAATCTCAGACAAGTTACTTGAGGCCCACTCACCCAGCAAGGCTGTGGTGGAGTAAGGCCTTGAACCCAGGCTTCCTACATCTAGAACCCTAAACACTGAACCACTCTTCACTCCATGGATGCTTCGGGCATCTGCCCAAGTGGTCATGGGTTCCTGCAGCCAGGTTTGGGGGCAGGCCTTGCAGCATATTGGTCCTGAAAATAAAACTCTACCCTCAACTGAATCATGGGAGAGGAACCCTCCAAGGGAAATCCTCATATAGATTTCCTTCCTCTTAGCTTAATCCTGGGAGTTTCACCATGGAAGGGGACAACCCAGCCTTGAATAAGGGCTTCAAGTTTTGGCCAAAGCACCATCCTCCTGTTTACAGAGAGGACTATTAAAGCAAAGAGGTTGTGATTGACCAATGTTACCCCGTGAAGCCATCGCTCAACTAGGATGTGTTGGCTCCCAATTCCCTGCCCTACCCGCTAGATCATACCACTAACACAGATACTGTGGGATGCCGGGGACAGTGAAACAGGAAGCAATCTTCAGCTGAAACCTAGCAAACTGAGAGAATGCCAACCACAACAAAACCGGGAATATAGAAAATGCCATGATAGACGAACTAATGATCGAGCTAATGCAGAATCTCCCCAACAGATGAACCTGAACAGTCTAGGGCCAAGATTTGTAAATGTTACTAAAAATCAGGAGACATGTAAAAGGGGACTGGTATTCAGAAGATGGATTCATAGATTCATAGATTCTAGGACTGGAAGGGACCTCGAGAGGT